GCCAGGAAGGCGGACGGCTCTGGGGCTCCCTCGCTGCCCACCTGCTGCCATCAGGCCCTGCCTGCTTCCTGCTCCTCCATCTGAGCCTCCAGGCAGCCGGGGCAGTGGAGAGGGGGGGCAGCGACAGGCCCGTACCTTTCAGCTCATCCTCGTACACCTTGACCCCCTGCAGGCAATGATCCTTGGGGAGCAGGGTGGTGCTGGATAAGACCTTGGTCTCCCCAGTGACTCGGTCCTTCTCCACTGTGATCTCCACCGAGTACATGGCTGGGATACAAACAGGACAGTGAGTGTTACCTGCACCCACCTCCCCGCCGCAGCCGGGCTCCGAAGCGGGAAGCTTAGCAGGAGCAGGGGGGGTGCGAGATGGAGCAGAGCGGGGGTGTCACGGGGCAGGCGTGGCGGTGCGCGGTCCAGCCAGGAGGCGTGAATGCCCGGCAGCCCCCTGTCCCGGCGGGGTGCGTGTTACCTGCCAGCAGCCTTCGGCCCCTGCTCGCGCGGTCGCTAGCTCCCTGGCCCTGCCGGCTGCCGAGACTAAGTTGCAGTCCGCTGACCCCTGGCATTTGCAGCCGTGCAAGCAGGATCGGGCCCTGCCAGGCTCGGAGGGGGCAGGATCAGGCCCTGCCAGCCCAGCGAGCCCCTGAGCCGGGTCCGAGCGGGCTTGCTTAGTACCGAGCCTGATGGCGGTGGGAGAAGCAGCAAGGAGGTGGCCTCCAGAGCAAGGCCTGGTCTCTGTTGCTCCCCGCAATGCTCCCCCGGCCCCCGGGAGTGCCCCTGCTGCATGCAGGATCAGAGACCACGCTGGGTCGGGGCAGTGGAGAATCACACACGGGTCCCCACTGGGTGACCCAGCGCCCTCCCTTGGTGTCCACAGACTTTGACTCTGGACTCGTTTCCCTACGCAAACCCTCCCCGGTCCTCTGGACTCTGGGGGTCATTGAGACCCTGCAGAGCACTCCTCTCCGGGAGACCCGCAGGTGGAGATGCAGCCTCCCCCGGCACTCAGACGCGGTCCGTACTCACCTAGCTAAAGCAAATCCAGCAAGGAGGTAGCTCTACCCCCCCAGCCTCATGCTTCACCCCTTCCATGCAGCACCCTGCAGAGATAGCGACCCCAGAGCCGTGATGCCCGGAGCTTGCAAGCTGCCCCTGGGTTAGCGAGGCCACGGGATCGCGTGAGGGGTTAGGCCAGCCATGCTAGGGATCCGTGCCCCTTCCTCGGGGCCACCAAGCTGCACAAAGCAGGAGGAAGAGGGAGGAACTGAAGGGGAAAGGAAGAAGAAGGTGGTTTCTGTCCATACACAAGCACCCCCAGCGCGACTCCAAGCGAGAGAGAAGGGAAAAGCCAGAAAAGGCAGCCGAGATCGTATAAATAATGCGCTCCACCCGGGGCTCGGAAACCAGCCAAGCCGCACGCATCGCGCCCAACATGAAGCGACCGTAAATGCATCGCACCCAGTTTACAGTTAGTAAGCTACCCGGCTTCGCAAAAGCAAGGGCTGCCCGGGTGGCTCCCCTGATGGCGCCCAAGACCCCAGGCAGAGCTCATGGGCACAATAGCTCTCCTACACCCACGATGAAGTGACTGGCACAGGCGTTCAGATGAGGTTGGTGCCCACTCCGCATGGACTGGCCCCACCGGGCACAGACTGGGGTGGTGAGCACCAAAATTCACAGCAGAGGAGCCGGGTCAGAGCACGTGGCTCATCACCCACCCCGCGTAGGGTGGCGGGGCTGCTGCGCCCATCGCACCGCTGCTGCGTTCCCGCCCGATGCCCAGAGAGAGGCAATCCCGTGGGAGCCCCAGGCTAACGGACACCCCGGAGATGAGAAACACCCAGCTCCTGTATACACTGGGCTTTGGATGCACCAGATCTGGCTCCAGGAGACCCAGCATTGGCCAACGCCTGCCAGTGCGCAGCCCTGCTCCGATCCCTCCAGCTCCCCGCGGACTGGTCCCACGTACAAGTGCATGGCGCTGTACTGGGAACCCAATCCAGTCTCCCGGCTGGACGAGCTCCCCCCACACCCCAGCTCACGCCGACGGGCACCTGCACTCGGAGCGCTTGCTGCTCCACGACCCCTCTGCCCCCTGAGCTGCCGGGCAGCGAAGCAGGAGGAGGGACGACATACCTGCCTTCATCATGTCCGTGCCCTCCATGGCCTTCAGGGGGCTGTTGGAGACTTTCTTCTCTACTGGGGAGAGAAGAGGAACAGGAATCAGCTCTTGAGCCAGGCAGTGGGGAGGGGGGTCCTGTTCCCAGCCCCCACCACCTCCACCCCAGCTGCCCCCCAGAAATGCCCCAAGCACCCTTCCTGGCTCCGGGCAGCAGCTCCAACACATCAAGGCCCGGGGCATTTACAGAGCTGGGCTCACCCAGGACAAGGAGGACATTTGCTGTCCGAAGGAGCCAAGAGCAGGGGGAACCTCATCCATCCACCCTTCCCAGCGATGCCGCCCTGGTGCTGAGGACAGGCAGGGAATGGGACCCGGCTGTGCCCCACGCCTCCTGGGTGCAGGGACCCCAGGGAGCTGACGGGTTGGGAAGACCCCAGGGACAGGACGAGGAAGGACTTACCTTTGGCAGCAGCCACTGGAGTCTGCAAGATACAATGGAGAGGTTAGGGCCAGAGAACCAAGGAGCCCCCCCATATATCCCCCCACGCAGCCCTGGCACAGGGTCCCCTGGCTACTTAAGAGGCCTCTGATCAGGACGACAGGTGCAGCCGCTTCCCCCCGTGTCCAAGTGGGTTTCCCAGGCGCGGGTGTCAGCAAGGATGCCCCAGCAACGAGAAGCTGGTCCTTGCATGTGTGCCCACTGCCCATCACAAGTGCCCCATTGCCCCCCTGCAGCCTAGAGGTGGATGGGCTGGATTTCGAGCTGCTCTATGAACCCCGCACTTGCATCGAAGGGTTTCCTGGTGTGTCCTCGCACGGCAGGCGAGGGAAGGAGCTGCCTCAAGAGAGATGCCCTCTCCCACCCGCCGCCTGGAGACCCCACAGCTTTGCTCCCCAGGGGCTGCCCAGCCCCATCCCTATCCCCTCCTGACCTTTTGTGCCTTCTCCTCAATCTTCTCCTCTGGAGCCAGAGCCGAGGTGGCGGTCCCCTCTGCCAGGTTGTCTGTGGTGGAAGGCACCGATTCCCCGTTCTCCAGGATTTCCAGCTCCTTCTCTAGCCTGGAAGGGGGGTCAGGGCTGTGAGCCAAGGGGAACAGGCAGCCCCTGATACCAGCCAGAGGCCCCGAGGCCTGTGGAGCCCATGAAAGAGATGCTGGAGCATGTGGCATGGCGAAAACCAGCTCGTGCCCGTGCAGACGTAGCCCTGACCCGACAGAGAGGAGGAGGGTGAGGTCCCCAGCACCCCATTGACTCCCAGGGCAGCTCGGGGCAGGGTGAAGACGAGCAGGGAACAGCCCAGTCAGGGCCTCTCAGCCCTTGCAGCCAGCTCTGGGTTACCTGGGCAGCTGCGGCTTGAGCTCGCGGGAGGAGGCTGGCAGTGCCCAAGTCCCACGGGCATCCTCTGCCCATCCCTCTTCTCTCCTACACACCCCAACACTCAGCCCCTGCAGCTGGGAGACCCCAAGTCTGAGCCCATCCAGGGCACGGATGAGCATCCTCCCTGCACTGCACACCAGCCTCCTCCAAGGTGCAAGGGAGAGAAGGATCCGGCCCGGCCCCCAGAACCTGGCATGGCTGCGAGGCGGGGAGCGCATGGAGGATGAGGATGATTCAAACAAAGCCAGTCCCTTGGTGCCAGGTGCCCAAGTGCTGGCTGGCAGGGGGGCACAGCATGAGAGAGGGTCCAAAAGGTTTGTAACTCATCTGACCCCAGGACGGCTGCAAGGCTGGAGGGAGCAGGATGAGCTGCTCCGCGGGCCCCGTGCTCAGCCGGCTGGCTCAGGGTCCTGGAGTCCAGCCCCCCCCCGGGGCACGGAGCCGGCCCCTGGTTCTGGATCCCCGAGCCACTGCTTTTTCTCTGCACGGGGATCCATCCAAAAGGACCACGTCATCTTGGCGGTTTAGATCCTGGCCACAGCCTACCCCAGCCCCGCGAAGCCCAAGCCTGCATCTCAGTGCTTGCTGGATGCATGCAAGGAGGGAGAACAGTCCGAGCCCTGGTTCCTGCAACCACTGGCGTGCGGCACTCGTGAAAAGCAGGCGCTCCCCGTGCAAAGTTGAGTGCATGTCTCTGTGAGCCTCATGCGTGGAGGCTGGCTGCCTTTGTTCCTCCCCTGTTTCCACCGGCTTGGGAGGGGTTGCACCTCGCAGCCCCTCCACCAGACACTTGGCATGACGAGGGGACGACACGTGCCTGCCACGGGCACCAACGAGGTTCTCGCCACCTGCAGAGCCCTGGAATAATGAGACAGCACCTCCCCGCAGCAGAGGCTGGCGAGGCACCGTCCCAGGCCTCTCCCGAGAGCCAGGGCTCCCAGGTGGGACTGTGGGCTCACGGGGCTCCTTCAAAGCGCCTAAAGATTTAGGGTGCTGCCATTATTGCAGCCTGAAGCTGGAACATCTTCTAGCCCGAGTTTCCAAGCATTTTAAGCTGTGCACCCAAACCGGTGCTTGTGCGGGGCGTGGGGGGAGCCGCGTGCATTCGGGAGCGGATGACAGGCCCGACTTCGGGGATCTTGCAAAGAGAGCAAGGAGGCAGATCCTCCTGCCTGCTAGGAACCCACTGGCTTCTGATCCCCTTGCAGGATGGGGACCCTCTGTCCCAACAAGGCGTTTCAAGACTTTGCCCCCCCACCCCACCGCGGCACTTACCGTCCTCCCGCCGCTGTCGCCAGGACAACAGCATCTCCCGCCGCTTAAAAAAAAACGAAACAAAAAAACAGGACACAAAATACCATCCTGGTTTGGAAAAGGGCCACCTGAGCTGGGCGGCTCGGCCGGTTTTGGCTCCGTGGGAGCCAGCAGGAGACGGAGGGGAGGGGAGAGGCAGAGTCGGGACACAGGCGCCCACGCGGCTCGGCGATGGGGGGGCAGAGCAGCGGGCGCTGGGGAGCCTCCAGGGTTTGGTGTCAGCTCTGGCATGGATCACAATCGAGGGGAAGCCTGGATGCAATCCCAGGACGCCAGGAGCTGAGGCTTTGGGAACGCTAATACTGCAAGACCCACGCGACGGACTGAGCCGTGGGGACGTTATGTGACTTGCCCTCGGTCGCGCAGGCGGGCAGTAGCGGAGCTGGGAATACAGCCCCAGCTCTCCACAGTCCCACTCCATTGCCTTAACCCCCCCAGGTGGAAAAAACGCCCGGCAAAGCCTCCAGCTCAACCCGACCATCTCCAGGCAACAGCGCCCTGAACTCTTCCCAGTGCCGAGCCTCGCACGACTAGAAACATCTCCATGGAAATGCCCGGAGCCGGCATTAGTCTTGATGGCAGCTCCTAGCAAAGGCAGGACAGCAGATCACCCCCACCCGCGGCTCGCCGGCTCCCCAAACCCGTGTGCGATGAAACCAGGCAGCCCCAGCCCAAATCTGCCACCGCACAGCCAGCCTCAAAGCAGGCGGGACTCGCCCCAAGGCACAGCAGGGGCACAGAAAGCGTGACATTTAAGACAACTATCGTGGCCTGATCTTCACCTCCTGGTTTCAGTGGCTCTTTCAAGGTTTTCGCTGCGGACGAGAGGGCTCAAAACCGCCTCTTTTTTCCTAAACGAGACCCAGGATTCTTCACGGGACTCCAGGAGGTGGCGGCCGAGCAAAGCATCCACCCCCGGGACGCTCCCGAAACAGCACAAGCCCCCGGGCACCACCGCGCAGCTTTGCTGCAAGCAAGTGGATTTTATCCAAAAGCAATGGGAGCGAATGGAAAGAATCCCACGGGTTTCCCCAGGGCCGCAGCCAAGGCAGCTCGCCGGGTTAAAGGTTGCCAACCACGTGGGGAACTTTCCCCCGGAAAGCTGCGACAATCCTCTTGCAAAGCTGTCCCTCTTGCCCCAATGCGTCCCAGTTATCCACTGTCTCCAAAGGAAGGGGGGCTTTTAAATGCTTCCAGATTGCCTTTGCAAGGCAAAGGGAAACCCGCTGACACCCCTGGGATCCCTCTGGATTTACACCCCTGCCAGCGACCCCAGAAGCCAGCCCGGAAAACGCATTGCTCTCCCCCTGACAACCCTGCTCTTCGGCAGATGTTTATGCCCTGTCTCCTTTATCTTTAACAAGCCGCTTTTCCCCTTCCAGGCTCAGAAGAATTCACTGGGCCATTTAAGTGACACAAAGGGCCCCTTCGGATCTGACCCATATCTGCACCGAGGCGCTGTAATTAATGGGCACAGAGGGTGATTTATGGCATGCTTCCTGCGGCGGTTGGCTGCTGGGATACCTCTATTAGCGCGGCGGCTTCCCGGCTGCCTTTCCCCCCCTTTTTGGCAGTGAAATGAATGCGAAGGAGGCTGGGAAGAGAGGGCAAAAGTCTCTCCTTCTGGCCTAACTCCTCCGAGCCTCCTGGGATAGAAGGAGACACCCCCCAGATGCCTCCCACAGCCGCCGCGGCTTCTTCCCCCCCTTCCCGATTGCCCAAGGCCACCAAATCCGAGGCCACACGTGCACCGAGACAGGTGAGGACGCGGGATTGGCCGAGGACGGCCACGTGTTCGGGGTGGAAAAAACAAAATCAATACATTTCTACAAGATTCAATGGAGAGCAAGCCAATTGGATCGCACACACGATGCCCTTTCATTGGCTATATAATTTCCCACGCACCCACATGCTTCCCACAGGCATCACAGTCGTAGCAGGGAGGAAAGGAGATTCCCCGGGGTTTGTAAGGAGGGCATGACGGGTCCCATCCGGGGTTGTATTCCACCCTGGGTAATAGCCCGCGTAACAGAAGAGGCCACACGTGGCAGAGGATACAAAGAGAAGCAGCTTCTGAGCGTCCTCCCCGAGATCCGAATCCGCGTGGGAGGAGAAGGGAAAGGCAGCAACAGGGCGATGTTGGGGGAGAGGTACCTGCTCCCCGTGCTTTTTTGGGGATGGGTTGGCAGAGCCCCCAGGCCGCAGACGGGCATCAGGCCCACCAGCGCGGGAGCCGGGGATGGGCAGAGTCGGTCTCACGGCCCACCTTACCATCCGCCTGCTCCTTGGGGTTATTTGGGAGGCTCCCCCGCTCCCCACGGCCGCTTCCCTGAAGTTGCGCGCCTGGCTGGGAAAGTTCCTGCTGCCTCCAGCACTATAAAGGCCTAAGTGCCATTAGGGAGCAGATCCATCTGTGTTCAGACATGCCCCCCAGCAACCCCAGGGCAGCATTACAGGCTGATGGATGCACTCCCCCCCCCTCCTCCCCTCCTCTCCTCTCCCAGTCTCTATTGGATTTTCACTTTAAATAAGGCCAACTCCTAATGGCCCTAGACGGGCTCTGCTGGGCACGGCATGCTCAGGACTGCTGCTTGCACTTTAGGAAGGGGATGCCACCTTGCCAGAGAAACATGTGGTCTTCGGAAATGGTGCTGGGGGGGAATTCACCATCAGAAAGGGAAATCCTGGTGGTGGCCAGAGAGGCTCTACCCAGCTCCTGGCACTCAGTGTTATTGCTGCCTAGAAGGAGGGATCTTCCCAGCAGCTTCTCGGCAACCCGGGCAGGGGGGCCGTCCAGCGTGGGAGGCAGTGCAGGGAACCGGGACCTCAGGCCCGCTGCATTCCCCAGTAAGGCCCCGAGTTGTCTCCTCTCTCCTCTGCCAGCTCCTTGCACCCCACCCAAGCCCGGGGCCATCATGTGCGGCGTTTCCTCCCGCCCCCGGCCCGGTTGCAACACAGCGGGACACGCTCCAGCTTGGGGAAGTGGGAGTACAGTGTCCGGCAAGGGTGGAGCTGCGCATGGGAGCCGCTGTCCCCACTCAGGCCAAGCCCAGGTGAAGTATGTGTCCGGATATGTGACAGCGAACACCTCGAGGCAGGGGATCTCCAAGGTCCTGGTATAAACCTCGCATGGGTCATGGCTCCGTTTGCAACGGGGGGCCAGGCAGGGAGAGGACCCCGGAGTCCTAGATCCCCCTGGCACCGCTATACCCATGAGACCCCCCCAGAAATGGGAACCCAGGTGTCCTGACTCTCCTGAACACCTTTTCTACCACTTGGACAGCGCTCGTCCATGAAGGCAGGAGGAGAAGCCGGGGGTCCTGACACCCGGGCGCCTGCTCCAAACACGGGGCCGCGCTGCTGCGCCGTCCTCGGGGCCGGCTGGGGTGGTGAATCGGAGATCTCATGGTTTCCTAGTTGTTAGGGGCTGGAAGGGACCTTACAGATCATCGGGTCCGGCCCCCCTCTTGCAGGAGAAGCCAGCCTGGCCAGAGCAGAGGGAGCCAGCACGTCCCATCACACCCTCGTCTGGCCGTCCTGCTTGGCTCCAGCCAGCGGGCTTTGGGCATCACCCGGGATCGAGATGTGGAGTGGGTGGAGGGTGGAGAAGGGACACGAGAGGCTGCTGGTGTAAAGCCAGCTGGCCATGCCATGCTGCCCATGTGCCTCCATTCACTACTGTCCTGCTCCCTCTTTCCCCTGCCAGCTCTGCACAGCCCCCCTCCCGGGCTGACGTCGCCCCGTGCCTTCGCCGTTACCTCTGGATGGTGTCCTCAAGCTCCCTGGTCTTCGCCTCATCCTCCTGCATCTGCTTCTTCATGGCCTCGTCCTCTTCGGAGGCAGATGAGGGGGTGCCTTCCAGCAGCCATCTCTCCCGCAGGGCCTTGGACTGGGGGGAGTTGGGAGCACGGAGAAACGGGGGTCACATTTCTGCCAGGACTTCAGGGACACCAAGGGGAGCACTCGAGGCAGCACCCTGGAAGGGCTCTCCCGATGGGAGGGGAGGGGGAAGGCAGCCTTAGAGGTACCCTGACCCGGGAGGAGCTGCTGGGCAGGGGGCGGTGGCGAGGCAGTGGGGACCTGGAGGACGCTACAGCAGGGAGATGTCTCTGCTGCAGGGGACTGGCTCTGGGCAGCAATCTTCAGGGCCTTTGTGCCATGAGATTGATCCCAGGACCACCTAGTACGACCTGTGCACCCGCCAGGCATGGCCCAGATAGAACCCAAGGCAAAGGGATTTAGGTGCTTGCTTCCCCTGCCAGCACCTCGTTCCCACCAGCTTTAGCGGAGTTAGACACCGGAGGGTCGCAGTTCTCCATCTGGCCCCATTTCACAGCCCGAGGCCCGACCAGGCCCAGGGCAGAGCCGCTACCTTGAGATGCTGGAGCTGGCGTCTGTCGTCCTCAAGCTGGCGCCTTTTATTCTCGATCTCTGTCTGACGTTTCCGCTTCTCCTGAAGGCGCAAGGGGAGAGGGAGCAAGTAAAGGGTCCGTTTCTGAGCACAGCAAGGCCTCGATGGCGGCAGCAGAGGGGAGCTGCACCTTTCAAGAGCCCTCGTGACAGCCGGCGGGACCCAGTCAGGTCCTGCAAAGCCGGGGGAGCGGACCCTCGCACCCCGTTGGATGCTTTGGCTCAGAGTGATCTCGGAACACCCCAGGTGTCTCGCAGGTTTGGGGCCCTTGCTAAGGTCTCCCACTGCCAGGCTGGGTCCCCAAAGCTCTTGACCATGCCCAAACACCCACCAACATTTATACGGGGGACTCTGCTTCCTCAGCAGGGGCAATGTCAGGGCCTAGGGGGTTTGTACCCACTGAGAACCTGGCCCGAAGCCTGTTGATCCGGGGCAGGTTGCTCAGGAAGCCCTCCCTGGCTGGGCTGGGGTGGATGGAGGTGCCCTTCCCTGTGTCCCTCTCCATCTCCTCTCTGCCTGGCGCGCTCAGGCCGCTCCCGCCACAGTCTTCCCCTTGGCCTCTCCTCCTTATTGGCTTCTTGCTGCCCTCCGTTAGCCCCCTGCCCGCCCTGCCCTCAGCTGCTCTGCATTTTTATCCCATCCAGATGCCGCAGCTGTGATGATACACAACAGTGCGGAGCACACCGGGCATCACAGCCATGACACCCGCGCGAGGCACAACTGCTACACAGACAGGGGGGGGGGTCTGGGATGGTGCAAAGCTACAGGCAACACACAACAGCTGTTGTGTGCACACTTGCACGATACACATGGCAACAACACCGTGCCTGGCAAAGCAGACGAGCCATGTACCATCGTGTGACACGCTTGCACACACCACACCCGACAAACACAACACAACCGTTACGTGATGCCCAACACCTGGACGTACAGGGGCAAAGTGCTGGGGGATTTCACACCCGGTGCCTGACAGCCACCCCAGGCTACACACACAGAGCATGCCACCTGGACGTCGCAGAGCAGCAGTGAAAGCGCCATGCGACAGTTGCACAATTGCGCCAGCCCCACCGTGCACCCCGGCGTGCACAGCCACACACACCAATGCTGCATCTCTGCAAATCCAGGGGGCCAGACAGTGCAACCTCTGGCCCGCTCCGTGGCACTGCCCCTTTCTCCTGCCTTCCCATCCTTTGCACACAACCACCTCGCCCCACCACCCTACCCTGCCCTGTAGAGCTCCTTGCAGGAGGGGATTTGCCCACCACTGACCCCCCAGACTCCCTTTTCCTACACCAGGCAGAGCATTTGGACTATTGACCCCTGCACTCTGGGCTGCCCACGGGCATCAGGCTAAGACACTCCTGGAGCTCGTGCGTGAGATTCCCACGTCTGCAGGGCCCAGCTCCCCGCCTCCCCAACCGCCAAGGCAGCCGCCCAAGGGCCTGGAAGCACAGCGGAGCACCCCCCTCCCTGCACAGGCCTCTGCCAGGAGATCGATAGGCTGCTTGGCCCACGATCGATAGAGAGTGACGTGGCAGGCAGCAAGGCGGAGTGGTGGGAGCGGGGAGACAAGCCGGGGGGAGGGCTGGGAGGGAGCCAGGTACTCTCCGCTGGATGCTATCAAGGCTGCTATTGTGTCTTCCCTGCGCACCGAGAGCAAAGGCTCCTCCTTGCCAGGCCGGGCATTTTCCTTGAAGATGCAACACAGGGAACCTGGAGCAAAACCCAGCCCCAGGACTGCCATGGCAAAGCCCCCAGGTCCCTTGGCTGCTGGATCTGAGCCCCCCCCCAGGCACATCTGGGACCCTCAGAGTCCTGAGCGTCCCGGGGTGGTGGTTGGAAGCCAGTACGAAGTACAGCAGCTCAAGGCGGGGGTGATGGGCAGCTCCAAAACACCGCCACGGGAGAGCCGGATGCAATTCCCAGCTTCCTGCAAGTGTAGGAACATCCCTCCCCTTTCTCTGAGTGTAAAGCCCTGGGGGCAGCAGTTGCTTCTCCCTAATGTGCACACGTGCAGCACCGAGCACGTTGCACCCTGGGGTCTCACTCAAACGCTGCCACCCCGGGACCTTCCTGCCTGGGCCTGGCGAGCCGGGTGCGCGAGGGGCCTGGCGTGTGTTTGCACTGAACGTATCTGCCCTTCATTTACCCCCGTGCTGTCCCCGGAGAGCTGTAATTGAATTCCGCTGCCTGGGACACGTGGCTCTCGGGCTTGGCGGGCGCAAGGCTGCTCTGAATAACCCCGTGCTTGGTGCGAGCTGATTCAGGCCCTAATTTGGAGGGAATAACCCACAGCAGCCCACAGCTCCTCCTGCTGGCATAGGGTGGGTGGGGAAACTGAGGCACCCATGGGAGAAGGCCACAGAGGGGCTTGCTACGAGGACAGATCTTTCCTCCCCCCCCACTTCATTCTGCCTTTCAAAGCAAGGAGTGCATCTTATTCCAGGATGCGTTGTATGTGAGAACATACGGTAACAATCAGCACTAGTCACAGTGGCCTGGCTGATTTGGGGGCTAGAGGCATCACTGGAAACCCCTTGGACCCACTCTTCAGAAGGGGACTGGGGGTGATCTGCCCACAGCCCCCCAGCACGGTTGGGACCAGACCCCTGGACTGGCGCAGCCACGTGTGTGTGCGGACCACGCAGCTGCATCACTTCCAGGGACCTTGCACCTGGTAGCAAGAGGAGACCCAGGCAGCGCCGGGGACCCTGCACGGAGCTGGGACCTGCCCAGATTCCTTTCCCCGAGTCCGCCTGGCCGTGCCTCCGTTTTCCCCCCGCAGCCCCGAACAATTTGCTCTTTGTGCAGCCGAGCCCAACCCGATAACAACCCGGGCTGGGAAAGCTGGAGCCGAGGCTGCCACACAAAGGGGTGGGCACGAGGCCAGCCTGCCGCAGCCGGGCAAGGACCGCGCTGGTCGCTGCCTCGGGCCACCGGGCTCTGTCTCACCCCGTGCCCAGCTAACACCAAACACTGGCACTCCCAGCACGTGCTGGGTGGATGCGGCCCTGAAGCGACAGATGGCATCCACCCCGGTGCCCCCAACACCCTGGTGCCCCCAACACCTCTAGCCCCGGAGCTCCTTAACTAACAAAAGCCAGGGTGTGTTTGCAACAGGCTAGCTCAGGACCATACTCGAGAGCTGTATTTTCTCACGTACAACACACAGTCTTTTTGAACTCAAGCCGCTGGAAATTGGAGCGCTGGTTCGATGTCACTCGGCCACTTGTGACAAGGATAGATCCGTTTCCAGTCTCTTATCCCGGGATGCATTGTACGCCAGAAAATACGGTAATAATTAACAGTGGTAATGCTACCCCGGCTGGCTCATTAAGCGTTTCAGCTGCCCCGTAGCAATCTCCACCTGCATTTCACAAGGCCCAGAGACGTCCCTTAGAGCCTGCAGTGAATCAGCCGCAGAGCCCAGGCGTCCCGACTCCTATTCCCCTGCCGTGTGCGCCAGCTGAGCCGGTACCTGAGCCAGACGCTCCTTCTGCAGTGGCGCCAGGCGTCTTCCACGAGGCTGCCTGGGAGCGAGAAGCTGTCAGAGCGGCTCTCCTGAGAGTCATTTGCTCCTCGCAGAGCAAGGCCCCGGTGAAGGAACAGGCAAATAATTAGCCCCAGGGGGAAGGGAAGGGAAGGGGTTTGAAGGACTGGGGGCCTGCCGTGGCCCTGCAATGAGGCACTGACTGTAGGGAGCAGTAGCAGGATTCAAGCAGTCCCTTCGCTCCTCTTATTCCAGGCCAGTTCAGGTACCTGGCTAAGACCAGAGCAGCCCCAAGGCTGCCCTACCTCCTAGCTTGAAACACACACATGTGCATGCAAATGCATGCACGCACACACTAACCCCGGCACAGGAACAACACCGTGCCAGCTCTGCTCCGACCAGACAGGCAGCAGCTGTGACACGAACCCCAGAGGATTGGCACAAGCTGCCTGCTCGTGAGACGGCGCCTTTGCAAAGGCGACATTATCACCTCCTTGGGGCCTGGTGCTGCTTTCCAGCAATGCACACACGCTCTCTGTGGCTCACGGGGCCTGATGTTCCCACGTCTTTCATGGCACGGGGTCACTGCTGCCAGGGATGCCACTGCCGGATTGACTTGGGGGCACTGGGGCTAATGAGGGTGCCAACTGTGCGGGGCAGGAGGGCCAGGGCGAGGCTGAGGGACCCTGGAGAAGCACTGCACATCACGTAGTTCCCGAGAGAAAGGCATAAACCTCTGTGCTCCCCGCAGCTTGATTTCCGCACCACCCCAAATGCGATGAATGCCGTGGGCAGCACGGGAGATCTATGTCCCAGGATGCTCGCTCCCATCCTGCGACACTGGTGTTAGATGCAAAACTTAGCTCGGGGCCTGGGACCACTCTCCATCTCGGAAACAAAACCAAGAGGCTTGGGTACGTATGGATCTGGGGCCCAACTCCCTGGTGGCATAACTCAACTCACCAGACTGACACCAGCTTTGCCTCGGGCCCATTCTCCGCCCCCCTCATCTCATCCTTTCGAGGGATGCTGGTTCTTTCTATCCCAGACTTCCCTGCTATCCATGAATGCAAACCAGGGTGATTTACACTTTGCTTCCGGCTGCATTTCCAAGGGGTTCGAAACGCCGCGCTTCCAGCAGCTCTGAGCTCCAAGGGCGCTTGTACATGTGATGACATGCAGCCACCTCTGGGTGAAAAACGCACAGCAACGATGCTGGGGAAGGGATCGCTGCCTTTGCCCATCTGGGTCTCTGCTCGCCCGGTACAGACCCGAACGCCGGGGTCATTGTCCAATGCATCAAGCTGGGAAGAGATGGGCGGGATCCACTTACCGCGATGGCCTGCAGCCTCTCCTGCTGAGTGGTGCTAGCCTCGATGACCCTGCAACGAGAGAGCAGAGAGTGAACGGAGGGAGAAGAGGATGTGAGACAGGCTGGGGAAGCGGGGGGTGAAGTGTGTGTGTGTGTGTGTGTTTGTGCGTGTGTGCATCCATCAATAGACCCATTGTGCATAACCGGACACGGCACGCAGACAGCAGTGGAACTTTCCTCTTCCTTTCCAGTTCTCCTTCATTCCTTTGTCTGCTCTGCCCGAGCTCTCCTCCTCGTCCTTGAGGCCTCTGAATGGGTCCCCATCCCCCTCGGATTCTCCCCGCGACTCAGTTTCCCTGCCTTGGCCTTCAAGCAGACAAACGGAGGGAGCTGGTGACATTAAGAGAGCGGCGGATACCTCCGCTCCAAGGGATTCGAAAATGGAAAGGGCTATAGAAATGCTAATTACAGGGGCCGCTGGCCGCTGGCTCTGTTATTAAGGTTGACTAACACTTTCCATGATCCCCCCCCACCCCCCTCCCCGTTTCCAGCTGCTTACGCTTTTCCCAGCCTCGAACCTCCGGGGCCGAAGCAGCGCGCGCCGAACGAAGCCAGCGTCACGCAGAAAAAAAAATAGTCGGTGAATATATCATTTAAAGACTCTGGCTTTGCTTTTGGGGCCTAGTCGCTTTTACCTGGGTGGAACTATGTTGTATGGAGACGGGGACGAACACGAGTCTATCAGGGTATGGGAGCCTGATACCACAATCCTAGGGCAGCGGGGCTGGAAGGGACCTCCAGAGGTCACGTCCTCTGCAAACCGTCAAGGATTTGTCTGGGATCTCAACTCTTTGCAAGACTACCGCCCCCCGCCGAGCCAACACGAGACGTCGGACCTGCGCCTGCCGCAGGTAAAGCAGGGGAAGCAGCACTTTGCTTCTGTACGTGGTTGTTAACATGCACTCAAGAGATCCCAGGTAGAGCTCCCCCCGCACCTTTGATGTACGGGCGTACGAGCTACACAAGACCATTTTACGGCTTCTGGCTTTACGCCAATCAAACCCCGCGTAGATCCACTTATTCCAATATAAACGTGGCTCCGGGCAGCGCATCGCAAACCAGCGCTTTCCCGTTCTTTACCGAGCAAGATGCAGGTGACGCAGGGTTTTGTTCTCCTCGGCAATCTGGACCGCAGATTGCAGCTTCCTTTTCACTTCTCAATTCCCCGTGGCCACGAGCAATGCCCGCGGGGTCTTGCGAAGTGACTCTCGCGAAGCTCAGGCTGCGGCGGCGACTGTACGAAGCCCCTTCTCAAGAATCGAAAGCTAAAGCGAAACAGTGACGCCCTCCCCGTCCACCTGAACCCGATTTCCCGCAGAGGCAGCTGGGGCAAAATGGACGTTTGCAGCTGCACTGAGAAAGCTTGAGCCCGCTTCTGGTGCCCGCTCCAGGGCAGCAGGGTCAGAGCATCTGTGCTGTGCTTCTCCAGCAAAAGACGGGCCTGCATCTAAGGCTGGGGGTCGGAGACCAATTTCTACCTCTGCTACAGGCTCCCCGTGTGACCCCGGGCAAGTCACTTCATCCCCGGCAATGCCTCCTCCATTCAGAGGGAGATGCCACGGCTCTGCCCTGTCCAGGCTGACACCGGGCAGTGCCTGCCTCTTGCCGTGTCTGCTCAGCTCTCTGCTGCGGGCTCGACCCTCACCCGTCAAGCAGCCACCGGGGCAGGAAGCCACTTTTTGTGCCGGGCCAAGCAGCAGGCCCCCCTTGGCTCAGCTGGGACAGTCCCACACCTCCGGAGATGGGCGTCTCCATGGAGGACTCGGAGATGGAGGTCGGGCAGCCTGAAATCACTCCTCCATTGCCCTGTGCACACCAGCGAGATGCCACGTGGCCACGGGCCAGCTGTGACAGCCATGTCTCCCAGGAGCCCAGCTGTGCCACCCCTCCACCACCCTGCCCCCAGCCCCAAACAGTGGCCATGAAGGTGCAAGCCTGGCCTTCCTTCCCGGTGTACAGCTCATTTCCAACACAGGCAGGCGTCAGCGGGAGGGGGTAAAATGCCACCTCCTCCAATGGTGGGGTCATCACCAGACGGGGACAGGACCAGACCCTTGCTGGACTCGCGAGAGCAGGAGGCAAAGAGGCAGATCCTCTCATGCTAGGGGCTGTATGCACCCCGCGGAGGGTTCCTTTTCCCAAAAGTTCAGAGACGGAGCAGATGCGACAGGCAGAGAAGGGGTTTCCACTGTGTACCGTGCAGAGACGGACGGCAGAGGGGTGAAGTGTCGTGCCCAGGGTCCCACAGGTTGCCAGTGGCAGAGACGTGCCCTGCCCCAGATCTTCTGCGGCCTGCCCTCCTCCGTGGCACCGGCGGCGGGGTCTTGCATCGGTCCTGGGTCCGGGCCTGACCCAAGCCATATGTCTGAGAGAGGAATCTCCGTCCTACCTGCATCTCCCACCCCCACCTGCATCACGGGACCGGCTTCGCAACCGTGGCCTTGACTATTTCTCAGGCGGACGGCTGCCTCGGGGGCTAGCGCGCTCCAGAGCAGACGGAGGAAGGATGAGCACGCGAGGGTGGGGGTTGGGGGGAAGCGGCTCTCGTCTGCATTTCTGCCTGTGGTTATGTGCAAATCCATTACAGCGCGGTCCCAGGAGCCCCCGCCCTGGACGGGAGCCCTGGTGCCAGGCTGGCTGCAGGCCGTGGCTCACGTGCTGTTCACACACCGGGGCCTGGGGAGCCGCCAGCCAACCCCGCTCGCCGAAAGCCGGCCCGGCTCTCGGAGCTTAATTAAAACGGATCCTGGAGAACCGCTCCCCGTGGCCCACGGAGCAGGCAGCGGCAGGGCTTGGCTGGGACGCAGGCTGCAGCAGCAACCAGCGCCCGGCTGCGGCGGCGTGGCATTTGCAGACGGGGCCTGCTGGATGGCTGGGGGCTGCTTGGGTCACAGCCCCCATCCATACCGGGCCAGGGGCATCATGAGTCTTGGAGCCCGGTTTTTTTAGGTCAGGCCCCCATCCGACTGCAACCCTCCTCCACCACCCAGCTGCCTTTGCAGCTAACCTCTGCTCAAAGCATTGACAGGAAGCACAGGGCAGTGGTTAAACCTCCAGTCCTCTGCTCCTGCCCCCTCTGATGTCCCTGGCCCTCTCTCCGTTTTGCTTTGCAGCCCATCTGCAAGCTCCTTGGGGCAGAGGTGGCCTTAAGCCAGGTGGGCATGCAGTGCCTAGTGGTGGGGGCACCTGGGTGCCGCCGTCCTGCTCACAAACAAGGGAAAAAACTCGGCAGCGCGCGGCTGCTTTGTGTCCGGTTGGCTGGTGGGGTTGAACGGTCTCATGGGAAAGGGTGGGGAGGAGATGGAGCATTCACTACTCTGTGCCCAGGCTGATCCACACGAGGAAGCCATTACAGTGAAGCAAATATAAAAAACCAAACAAACAGCTACACACCCAGCCCCATGCACCCCACTGGACGAAGCTGCAGCACTCCAGGTTGGAAAGCAAGGCGCCCGGGTTTCACAAGGGGCTCCTGATCATAGAATAGAGGCAATGAGGGTGGAAGGGACCTCGGGAGGTCACATCCAGTTCAACCCAAGCAGGACCAGCCCTGGCTACATCCTCCCAGCCATGGCTTTGTCTACCCAGGTCTTAAAAACCTCCAAGGATGGAGATTGCACCACCTCTCTGGGTAACCCCTTTACTACCCTCCTAATGAGACAGTTTTTCTTAATATGCAACCTCCCCAGTATATCCAACCCCCCAGTTTCTTAATATCCAACCTTCTTAATATAAAACCTCCCCAGTTTTTCCTAATATCCAACCTAAACCACCCTTGCTGCAGCTGGAGCCCATTGCTCCTTGTCCTGTCATCTGCCCCCACGGAGACCAGTCCAGCTCCATCCTCTGTGCAACCCCTGGCAGGGAGCTGAAGGCCGATGTGACGAGTCTCCAGCCCGAGACACTCGATCCCAACCTACGTGACATGGAAAGATCTAGACTGAAACGTGCGCTCGCACCCAGCCAAAAAAAAGGAAAAGAGAGACCAGTCTCCATCTGCAAGACGCTCAGGTCTGTACTTGAGGAATTCGATCAAGCGATCTGTCGAGTTGGATCGAGTCACACACCTATGACTATTAATCAAGCCTACCGTGGGTAAAAAAGCCGTCGCGGACACAAAACAGAATCATCTCTCTGGAGCCGAATTCAAACTTCAGTCGGTAGGAAAAAAAAAGCAAACCCGCCACCCTTTCCACTGCTATTTCCCCCTGTCCCCCCGGTGACAAATGGCTCTAGTTTTCCTATACAAATGTGTTCGCTCCATAGGAAATTCTCCTGTTTTTTCCCCCCTCCAGGGAAACCCACCATTCAAAACAGGCATTAAAACACAAAGAAAACGGCTTACAGGAAAAAAAAAAGATGGATTTTTTGGGTAATCCCCCCCCCGAGAAAACATCAATATTTTTCGTTCCCCCCAGAACAGTACAGGCCCCTTCGAAACCTTCATTTTGTTGGCATCTTGCATTAAAACAGTTCAGATTTAAAGCCCGGACGCTGCTCGCAGCCCCTCACAATAGCATCAAGCAGACCCTTGGCTCTGGCGCGGTCTCGTGCGGGGGCCCGCGTTATTTCTGGCTGCCCTTCGGCATAAAGCAGGTGCCACGCGATGCCCTGTATCAGTGTTCGCGGTGCTGGGCTAACCGCCGGCATCTGGCTCCACCGTTGTGCTCCTTTCCCCTCTCCTTTGTCAGCCTCCCCCGCCTGTTTATATTGCAAGCTGTTCAGGACACTGCCCTGGGCTCGTACAGCTCCTGGCACCGCGGGATCCTGAACCTGTTTGGCTGCAATCGCAAGGCACGTGGTTAAATAACAGGGGCCCGTTAACAAATCCTGTTGGCACGGAGCTCGGTTACAGGTTATAATAAGATGCCAACGTGCCCTCAGCCGGCTGGAGGCAGCGTTAGCTCATGCCTCATCCAACAACCTGTAGACGCGCCTCATGAAGCAGCAGGCTCCGCCAGCGGTGAAGTGGCGGCTGGTTCTCTGCAGACCCCTTGGCAACCCACCCCC